AGTAAACAATTGACTTTCTAAGAGATTGAAACGAAAGGACACCGAGTAGTAGGATAAACGTATTCATAAAAAATCAAAAGTATGCAAATGAAAGAGTTGTGTGGGGTACTTTCTACAAAGGCGGTATTCCTTCGCCGTAAAACGGATCGAAACTGCCGTACCATTTTTTGACGACGTATAATGCGTGGCATTTATAAAACGAATCGCACCGTTGATTTTTAGATTAAATACGCCGTAAATCAGCGACAAGTGGGATATTTTATGCGTCTCTCGTTTGACAATTTTTCTATAAAATTTTGTTACCAAGTATTCGAGAGAAATTAATTTGTACGCGTAATACAAATTTGGTTAAAAACCATTTGAGGAAGATTAAATGGCGCGCGCAATATAAATCTTCTTAAAAATTACGTAAAAGAAATTAAACGCTACGTCTATTGAAAATTTACGTTAAACAACTAATTTATAAATCGTACTAATTTAACTAATTTATAATAATATGTATACATATTACGTAGTCAAAGTCATTAATAGTTAGGTAAAAATAAATCTATCTGTACGCGCGTAACAAAAATTTCATGACAAAACTTTCTTTACCATATATTTACATCTACTTGTTTCCTTATTCCGACGACTGTTAAAAGCGTTAATGAAAAGAGTACACTTTTTCCGGAAGCGTTTAGACGTTCCTCGATCGAGATACCCCCACAGACGTGCCGAATCGAAACGGATTACCAATTATTTTCAATAACGGTTTACGAGGTCGTGACGAGCTTCGGCTCTCGTGGGACTGCCCGTTTAATCGATCCCACGTTTCCACGTAGCTCGATGTATATATCGACGATCGAGGAACGTTTTCCCTCGCGCGATTCTTAAGCCAGTTTCCGCCATTCCGACGCAGGAGTTTCTCGCATGAGTCACGGTTTATTAACACGGCTGGCCGAGCACGTTCCGAGTATAATTGTTCTACTCGTTCGCGGTTACGAGCAGTGCAATCACCGCGAAAAATCGCTTCTCAGCTTTTGGAAAAATTCGCGGACGCAGCTAAGCGAACGTCGAAGAACGTGCATGCGTATGGGCGACGATTACTCGTTTTCATCTCTTCTTCGTATAATACACGCACGACGTAAAAACAGGATCTAAAAGCGTATTGCGATATAATATCGTATGTAAAGTAACTTTGAATTCTAAAATAAAATTACGGTAAGAAAAGATACTTTTAAGTAGATTCGGATGCGGACGAACGACGAAGCTTCGTAGACACACCGCTCTAATTAGTCGAAACGTCTTACGCAGCATTTTTCGATTTTTCGATATAACGCGTTGAAATGTTCGAAGTCGCTGTTCGACGTACGACGCAATGGCCACAAGAAAGAGAGCGAACGTGTTCGAGCAAATTAACGAAAGAAAAACGCTTGGATCGTGGATCGTAGTCGATATCCGCAACAGTTCCACGTATTTTATACCTTTTAAGAAACTTGTAATCGTATCTTTTACCTTTGAACAAAGTTGTATCGTACAGCTTGTTACGAAATAACGAGGAAGTATTTTTGAATCGTAGGAAGAAGAAACGACCCAGGTTTCAACTTATTTCAGTTTCGAAATGGTAATTTCAATTAAGAAGAGCAGTGTAGTATTTCGATACATAATATATAATCTCCGTATCTCCATCCATGCTCCAGAAAAATATGGATTGGAAAATAGAAGGCCTTTTTACCTCTATTGTTTCTTTTTCTCGGTTCATGGAGATTAACTTCTATTTCCGTGTTAGTCGCATCAACGAATGGGCCGACGCTTCGTAGATTTAAGCTTTTAGTTTCTTTGCGCAGATCGAATTTCTCTTTTCGCTCGAGATGGAAATAAGAAACCTGTCAGTGTGCTCCGAGTATCGATCGAAATTGAACTAAAATCAACGAAAGAACGGGTATACGCGAAGGAGACCACGCCTAATTAGACGCAAAAAACTATTGCCAAATTATTCGGCTAATCTTGTCTCCGTAAGATCAACGGCGATTTTAAACGATCGCCGTTGATCGGCGATACGACGAGTTGTAATACGAGGTAAATAGCAACTCAAAAATCAGACTGTGTACATATCTAATAGAATCTCAAACTATCGCGCAAAGTAGCCGATGTGAAACCAAATTCTTAAGATCGCCGTTCCCCTCAACGATATTCAAATTCTATATTTAAAGGCACGAAAGTAGCAATAACCAAATAACCAGGATATCGAATCGAAAACAAACCTAGCTTTAACTATTTGCGAAACAGAAGCTACCTCGACGCGATCAGCGGTAATCGAATTTTTTCACTGGTTTTGGGAGCGAAGTACGTTGCTCTACACCCACGTCTACGTCAGGCTATATTCTCATCTCATATCGTCCGAGGTAACTTTTTCTTTTCTCGCTTATTTCCATCTCTTTGCGTTCGATCGCCGCGCGAAACACACAGACGCCAACCGCGCAGAGGAAAGGATGTTCTCGGTGCGATTTTTATATCGGCCACTTACCAACACACTTCGATATTTTCGAAACGCGCACGCTACAGGAATTGACGTTTCAATTACACCGTCGATACTCCTTTAACCGGATCCTTCCTCTTTCTTTTCGTTTTCATCGAGAGATGAAAGGGGGTTTTCCAAGGGGAGAATTGGCCGACGTTCTCGACGAGAGTACACGGCCGGCTCTGCGTGGGAAATTCGACGCACGCCTATCGGCATAACGCCCGAAATCGAAGTAGCTGCGACTTTTCACGCGGAAATCGCGCTATTTTTACCGGGGCGCTCTCAATAATTCAACGCACAGTCCGCCAAGGTCTCGATGCTCGCCCGATTCTTTTTCTCCGATAGCTTTCGCGCCTCCGCGTCTCCTATACGCGGATCGACCGGACATGTTTTATTCACAAGTAGCCTCTCCTGCAACTTCTTAAGCGTTCGATTTAACCAACTTTTTTTTCCTATCTCGTGATTCGATCAGGTAACTTTGTTTCGCGCTACTTCTGCACCCATGGACGCTCTTGTGAAAAATTCAGCTATTATTCACTAGCGAAGTTTTACGAGTTACGAGTTACGGATCACGGACGTTAATAAACGGATCGCGGACTTTTGCGCGTTTATAGGAAATTCGAAAGTGCTGCGTAGGATGCGCGTAATGTGAAAAAATGTATAAGATATTCGAAGTATAGTCAGCGGTTTCTGCGATACTTGGTGAACGAAACAATTTTCTCGAAAATACGAAACATCGTTCTCGAAAATACGAGCTTGCGTGAAAATCCACAGTCCGTTAATAAATATTTTTATACAACGGTGTAACAAATTTCACGATTTGAGGTTATACGAGTAAAGCGATTATTCTATTCGATGAAAAACGAAGAAAGAAAAGCCTGTAACCTACTGTTACTACGACTTGTAACTCGTCAATTTACTGATATCGTTAGTTGAGAAATTATCGTGCAACTTTTACAAGTCACAAGTTAAAACATTGCCGATGCTAATAAATACGTTCATACAACGGTAACGAGTTTGGTAATAAAACAAATACAATTTTTCAAGCAAACGATTACTCCATTCGATGAAAGATTCTAGAAGTCTATAATCTGTAAATAGTAACTTGCTAATTTCCTAATACAATTGCTCGATGAATTATTACGCAACGGAGGCTTGGTACGAAGAAGACGCATATTGGGTGAACGTTTTAACGTCCTGTTAACTAAGTGTACGATTTAACCAAGATCTTCCTAAATATTTTTTCTCACGACATTTCTCAAAATAATATTATTGATATATTTAAAACGTGAGGTATTCGCGTCAATTAAATTTTCCAGAAAATTGATTATTTAACGTAATGTAAAATTATTTTTGTGTCAATTTCATGATTTTTCGTGGCATTCCACGATTTCTACAGTTGAGATAACAAGCGAATATCAAAATTTTATCGAAGTAGATTCCGTAGATAAATTGCAAATAAAGAACGAAACTAATCTGGAAAATATTAAAAATAGCATCTGGGTTAAGGGATATTTAACGCTTTAAAATTTACCGTTTTGCCACTGTAGATTCTAATATTAGTAGAGCGACGGAGTGACAAGTTCCTTTTCCTTCTAATCTTATTTTCGAATTATTTATAAGTAATCGCATGGGATCGCTTATTAAGTTGCGAGAATAAATCTATTTTTTGGTTGATCGAAATATTCCACTTAATAAGTTACTGGTATTTAGAAACTGGTAATTGAAAACAGAATTTAAAAGGAATACTTCTTATCACGATCTTTTATACTACACTAGTATTCCGTAATTGGTAATACTTTACACGATATTTATACTATTATACAGCTACGACAATTTTACGTAGCAATTTCTAGACGAATCACGAAATATTATTATCTTTTTTTACAACTAATAACTTTCGAATCGTCGAAAGTGCTCCATAACGAGTTCTTAGATTTTGTCATTCACAAGGAATTATGAAATATACAGAGTGGTTGGTAACTGGTGGTACAAGCGGAAAGGGGGTGATTCTACGCGAAAAAAGAAGTCGAAAATATAGAATAACAACTTTTTCGTCCGAGGCTTTGTTTTCGAGAAAATCGACTTTGAATTTTCGCTCGGTACGCGTGCGGTACGTTATAACGGATCTCGCTGTAGATCGTTGTCTCGATGGAAAAATTAAAAAAAAATAAAAAAAAATTTTATTCTATATTTTCGACTTCTTCTTCACCCCCTTTCCGCTTGTGTCACCAGTTACCAATCACCCTGTAGATCAGTGCACTATATTTTTAAACTAAACAAACGAATAAATTGAATTAACCAGCATAGATTACAGGAAAGAGCGAGAGAATATTCGTTAGTTAATTACCAAGTGTTAATTAGGAAGCGAAAGCCGATGTTTGTGTTCGCGAGAAACGTATGGTATCGATCACGAATTTGAGACCAGCCCCTACCGTGCCGAGAAGGGGCTTCTTTAGGATAGTTGGATAGTTTGACAGCGGGTTGGCTTCTCACGGTATCACCGAAAGTATCACCGTTTATTTCAAGAGGAATATAACGAACCATAATCAGGCGTGTCGTAAATTTCACGCGTATAATACTTGTACATTTAATACTATCATTTATAACGCTATTACTAAACTTGATCATGTACTACCCATACATTGGATAATTAATAATTATGTTTGATCGTATCGATTAAATATTACCACGTGAAATAGGTGTCTACACATCTTCCTATATATCTTCAAGCATCGTATGTTCGATTGGATCATTTGATACTTTTCATACTTTTTCCCCACTTCTGCATTCTCTTGCCTTTATTAACAGAAACGTTTTATCGAAAGATTAATTTCGGCTGAAATATTAAAATTTTGAAATTAAACGAATGAAATAAATAATATTTGCGGGGAGAGGGGAAACCTACGATTCACAGAAATATTCGGCAGTGTGCGTTACAGTGGGTAAATGTCCGGTAAATGGAAGCAAGCGACGTTTTACGACTTCGCTGCGCATCGTAAAATCCGTAGACAATTTTTCCACTTCGAGCCATCGTCTCGATATCGTTGGAAAATTGACGTTTTTATATATTTACGTGGCCGTAGCCTATCGGTAATCGATATCGTCGAACTGGTTGATATCGAACGTCGACCAATAAAATTCACTGTCCTGACCGCGTGGCTTATCCTTATTTCAAGAAGTCTCTTCACCATACCGACACGACGAATGCATATTTATTACCGATGTAAAACAACCATCCAAAGGGAATCCACTCGAGCTTCACACCGTTCCCCTTTTATCTCCCTAGATCGATTCGCATCGCATTCCACTAGACGCATCCTCGATTTACTTCCGTGTCCTACGCGACCTAACTCTAACTCTTACTCAAAAAGTTAGCCATCGTGCACGAAATCTATATCGAATGAAATTTTCTCAAAAGTAAATCATTTCCTTCGGTTTTGTAAATTTATTTCTCTAGCTCTTTTTTTTCCTCCTATTTAAATAGCAAAATATTTTATAAATTTAAACTTTTACAAGTTTTATGTTTTACAGACTTCTTTCTCTAGCTCCTTTTTTCTCATTTAACCCCTTGCACTCTGTAAATTATTCCATACGATTGGCTTGATTTACCATTTTATGACATAGAATTTTACTTTGAGGAGAAGAGGTTACAAATGTTCACGAATTTATTTGTACGATAGTTTATCCATGGCAATAGAAGCAAATAATTTTGAGATAATATCGGAGGAGTACAAAGGGTCAAAGACTCGTTTAATGGCTTAAAGTAACGATAAAGTAACGAAAACACTGGCAAGGATACGGACGGACGCAACAATTTTTCGACTTTTCTCTTTCTCTTTTTGGCTCTTTTTCATTCTGACAAAGAGCGCATTGTTCTATTCGTTCGAATTTTAGTTACGTTCGACTGCATCGCCAATGTTGATTGTATGGATGATCGATAGAGTTAATATCGACGTCTATTGTTTCGCAAGGTAATCCAAAAAGAACGCGAGGAAAACGCATGCCCACACGTATCAAACTGATCGGACAGCGGTGGAAGTACGATAATTAATTTTCCGGCGATGTTGCCACCGTGGTATTGTATGTTCTATTTCGGTAATATATGAAATGGGATTGATATTAATGTTTTGTTCAGACTCCTGTCAAAATAATCGCTTCGATCGCGACACTAACTCGAATTTTAAATAAATTATGCCGTTATTTAATCGTTGGTTTATTAATTAAGGAAATTTGCCGATTAATCTTAAATTTCCCACTATATATTTTATGAATGTTGCAATTTAAATTCTTCGCAGTAAACTATATGTAAATTTCATTGACTGAAAAATGTCCATTAAACAGAGATTTGCAATTTGAGTAAGTAGATAAATACATTTATACATACGTAACTATAAAATGATATTGCTAGATTCATTCGCTGTTTAACACTGGAAAAAGTATTTTAATCGACACTATGAAAGTCGAACGTTTTTCGGTCGTAGAAAAGTCATCGATTATTAATAATTAGTAATGTAATTTGTAATTTTTCACGAAATACATATAACGTATTAAGATCTAGTACCAGTTTTATAAAGAAACAAATATATTCGTGATTTAGTTGGCTATTAATTTATCGAGCTATCAATAGTCGTCTATATAAAATATCAAATATGGAAGTTTCCATACAAAGCAATATTACTGAAATCAATAACCACGTATGATCGTATTTTCCTCCGAATAAAAATCAACGTTAACGTCGTCAAAAGCAGCCGAATGGTTTTATTAACTGCAAAAGTAAAACCGATGGATCTGGTACAGATCTACGGTTAAATAATAAATACACCATCTATTTATTAACTCGTTAAATAAAAATCATAGATCTGCAACAAATTGACAAACATGACCGAAGAAACGCTTTTAAACATCACGAAAGGAAACATGTTCGCGAGAACCTAAAGAAAGAACAGAAATTCATCAAACCTTTCGCGTTTCACGCTATCGTCCCTTAATGCCCTCTCTGCAACATCTACCATATACAATATAATACAAAGATATGGTTTATTTTATCGTACTACATCCACGCTGTCCGATGCCTTGATTACCGAATGTCGTAAGGGGTTCAAACTCGAGGACGTGTGGGGTTGGTGGACGGGAACGTCAGACGAAGAGAAAGAAATAAAAAAAAAAAAAAAGAAGAAAGAAATAGGAGGAAGATACGCTCCAAGACGACGGGTGGTGGTGGAAGAAGTAGAGAGAAAGAGATAGAGAAACAACAGGGAGGAAGATACGTTGTAGTTCGGTGCAGTGGGTGAGAATAGTTGTGAGACGTATCCAGCGAGTGAACGAGTGGCGGTGCATACTTACGTCCAGTTAGAGGGTGCATCAGAGCAGGGTGCGAGGTGGCTGCTGCAGCGGCTGGTTGCTTGGGTTTGCTAACCTTTGTGTTACTTTTTGCAAATTCCAAACGTATGGTTTGTGGCATATCAGGATCGAATCTAACCCCCTGCTGCAAATAGATTCCCTAAATTAGTAAACCGGGAGCACACGTGGATGCTTGGAATTGGTGAGAGGAGAAGAAAGAGAGAAAAGGCAGAGAGTGTGAGTGGCGGCAAAATTACGCTCGAAGGAATTCTATCGATCTACGCTTTCGTCGCCAGCCAAGCTTCGAAGTAGATTTTCGTTGTATTTTGTCTGCAATTAGAAGGGTTCGAAGAGAAATAGCTTCGAGACGCGGAGAATTTTTGGTACTCGTGACCTCGCGCTTTTAGCTTTCGTTACTAAATAGCGGTAAAGCGTTTGTGATTTTGTCGAGGAGAGGAATTTTCGATTCTTGGTGGATTTGGAATTTCGAAACTTTTGCGATGGACAGTTTTACACGGCGATTTTAGTTACGTTTCAAACGCTTGTCGAAAATCGTCGAACAGAGGGTTTCTTTAGTAATAAAACCGAACTTTCAATTGGTATTGGGATTGGTAGATGACCGCAACAATTTGAATTGATTACTAGAACAGGTTATATCGTAGGTTATATCGGAATAGGTTATCCAATTTAATTTCGCTCTCCTATTTTACTTTGTTCGTTTAATTTCAATTTGTTTGCTATTCTCCGTCTTATAGGTACAGATTATCGTATAAGGCATAAAATACAAGGTAATATTAAACTGGGTAACCCATACCGGATAATTCAAGTTCGGTTTATCGTACAAGATGTAAAATACAAAATAAAAATAAGACACTTGAAACTCGAGCAATCTTATACGTAATTACCTGTGTAACCCGATAGCCATATTTAAATTATCGATCGAGAATTAAACAAAAAGTAAATGAAACTCTATTTACCACCTTAATTACTATTGTTCTAGTACTGTATCATCGGATTGACGACTGGCAACGAAAGTGTCGTATAAAACGATGCGTAGGGTAAGAGCGACGATAGGGGACGAACAAGGGTGACGGAGTTACAGGAAAATTAGCACAAGATGGTGTGTGTATGTGTGTTTTCTGCGTGTATACATGTAAGTGTCTGTATATCCGTGTCTCTGTTAGTACAGTGGCTATCGATAGAAGTGGGTCGTTCGTTAGTCTGTTTCAGGCTGTTCTCAGCGTACGTGTCCATCCGACAAGAGGATGTTTCGAGTCTCTCTCGTACGTAACCGGTTACACAGGGTTATAAAGACATTGCAAATTGCGTGAGGTCAATTGCAGTGGTGTGATAAAAAAGAAGGATCGTACGTATACGTGTGTGAGTAATTCATAGATGTACGCTTAATCTTTCCACAGCGAACAAGTAGCACGAGGAAGAAAGGTTCAAGGAGCTATCGATTACAATATCGTCTTCGCGTTTTACATATCGCTATATACGATGCAATTAATTAAAAAATTCATCACCCATTAAAGGATCAAGCTATATAAATATCGTTTGTATCTGTCGTGAGAAATACAAGAAATCTCGCGACGGTAAAGCGATAATTATTTTCCAAGCCGTTAATTCCGAATTCTTCGTAACTTTATTACACGATGAGAAGATTATCGTACCGTGCTACGATCCTTGAAATTTTATATTCCAATTCCTCTCTCATTTCGACGAATGGAAAATATTTGTTACGTTTTAAGAGGATGTTCGCCATAAAATCGAAAGGTGAACGTGCATACGAATAACAATTCTTTTTATTTCGTTCGAACCGAAGATGATTTTTAACGTTGGAAAAGTATAATTGGCTGGAACATGATCGCAAGAACGTAGCAGAGTCGAACATACTTGTTTACTACACACGTATATATGGTCTATTGTATCGTTGAAATCTAACAGAATGTATTTGTACAAGATCCAAATCCATAGATTAAACGTTATATACTTCTATACATATGTAAACGATTTTTGTATCAAACTTGAAAACTCGACAGGGGTGTAAGAGAGAGAGAGAAAGAGAAAGAGAAAGAGAGAGAGAGAGAGAGAGAAAGAGAGAGAGAGAGAGAAAGAGAGAGAGAGAGAGAAAGAGAGAGAGACAAGGGGGTGATTTCAAAGGCTAAAACGGGGGATGTGACACGCTTATTAAAAGGCAAAAAACAACACCATATATATGTATATTTCAGTATGGGTAGTATCACACGGTGCAACCAGCGTTATTACAGTATGATGTTGGTATACGTATACGGAGAAACAAGGTAATTTATACTACGGATTCGTCCCAGGTTAAAAAAAAAAAGAGAAGATTACAGGAGGAAGCTAATTGTAGTATATAAAAACAGAAAGGAACTTTTACGTATAATATATATATAATTAAATATGTATATATATATATATTATATAATGGAAAAATAAATGGAAGAAGAAAGAGAGTGTGTGTGTAAGTACGTGTATGGTAATTGATAAAGGTAAATAGCTACGTAGCATTAACCCGTGCCAGCTGGAATCTAAGGCAAGGGTGTGTATTTTCATATATGTATATGATACTTTGAGAGAGACAAAAGATTGTAAAAAAAAAAAGAATATATAATATATATAAGGGAGGAAGAAGAAAATTGCGGGCCATTGTTTGTACGTATGTGTATGTATATTCATATATAATATGAGAGAAAGTATGGCCATATAATTGTAAGGGAGCCCGCGGGAGCTCTCGCGTTTTATCGAGCAGCTTTTTCTCTCTCGAATACCTACGAGAAACGGAGTATTACCTGAAGGTCCTGTTTCGCTGCCTCGGCGCCGGCCCTCGTGTGAAAAGTCACGAAACCCACCGGCTGAAATCAAACAAAACGTACGCGTCAATACGTTTTACTCGTTATATTCCTACTTAATATTCGGAAAAGAATTTCATCGTTATCCGTCGCGCATCGCTTTAATTTCGTATCTAGCTTGCGAATGTTTACGCATTCATAGGAAACGTAGAGTTGCAAAACTGTACAGAGCGCGCGCGATATGCTAAAACACGCGAGAAGATAAAACGAAGATTTCAAGATATATAAAACCCGTCAAATAAGTACTTTTTATAATTTTCTCTTTCTACTGTGACAGGCGAAATAGATTTCTAGTTAGATTCCATCTTCTCGATTATATTCGTAAAAATATGAATTTGCATGAATGCTCGTAATGATAAATTACGGAAAAATATAGAAAATGAGACGATGTTATTATCGGACGAAAGCTATTTAAATTTTCTTAAGTAACACGCAGAATATCCTTTCTTATCAAAATGATCGTCTGTGATAGTGTTATTTTACATGCAGCTTTATCAAAACCTCGTCGAGTGAAAAAGGAAATAATTAAGGGAATAAAAAAGGGAATAAAAAAAGAAATCTTCGCATAGGCAGATTAAAAAATCTAGCGATACGATACCCTATATTGTTAAGTTACTAAATGTTAGTAGATAGTGAGATTTTCGTCTCTACCCTTGCATTTTTAATTTATTGGGCAGTTCAGATCTTGGAAAAAAGAAGGAAACATTCAGATTTTAATTAGGATCTGGAGTTTCATTCTGGTCCTGAAAGCGACTGACATATCGTGGAGGTAAGGCAAGGCTAGATTTTTGATAGAAACCCCTCGAGGTTTAGGGTCGTGGAGCATTTTCTCCAAAGAAGAGAGACGCGTGATACATCGCCATGTTCTAGGCGTGTTTGCAGTGTCCCTGCAGAATTTGTAAAAAGTGGAGAAGATTGCACCAAGCAATTTTTCATTCTTATACCCTGCTTAACCTTGGTTAACTGTGTTACCTTGTGATCGAAAATTTCATTACTTACAAAATTAAAAACTAATAAAGATGAATCAGTTTCAATTAGGTCGCTTTCAGTTCTTCGAAATGGAATGCGATTTAATTTATCCTTACTTCTTAAAATTCTTTTTAATTTATTATTAAAATTATATATATATAAATAATATCATTAAGAAAATTGCGTTTTTGAAAATATAAATGCGAAAATATATAAACTCAATGTTAATTTCGCTAGCTTTTCATTCGATATTCGCTGGATTTTCCTTTATTTTTCATTACTTCTATTAATCTGTTAGGTATACTATCCGCTAACTTGCTCAAAGTTTCGAATATATTTTTTTAAGTTCAACCATATTTAAAAAGCTGCATTAAACCTGGCTTTTACCGATCGTAAGCTTTCCCTGCTGAAATTCCTTAGTCCAGCTTCTCGATCGAATAATAATTCTATTTTTGAAATCTTGTGAAATCGTTTTTTTGTAGCGACGATTGGTACGAATAGGAACATTGTTTCGTCGAAAGATTATCTTTGTTGCTTCTGGTTCGGTTACGAAAGGCGATAGTTTGCCACGTAACATCTCCTAATATTCTATACCGTTCGATTTACCCTTTACAAACGCAATTTCGCTTAACGTATTCAGGTATGATCAGTGGTTTCCTGGAAATATCGAAGAGATATCGCAGAAAATACGTTTGAATTTATAATTATTCACAGCAGTGTATACATCGATAAAATATCGTTGTGCTACCGAAAGGCAATGACTTGATTTGAGAGAAGGTTGCGGATAACGCGGTCCTTTGACTTCACACTGCGAATCTATCAGCTATTTTGCTTATACTGTATCGATTGTACATCGACAGAAGGTTTAAAAGTACCTAATTCTTGATCTATCCAACCAAACAACCCCGTTAATCGATGTCAACAAACAATATATCGTTCGATGTCACGAAGAATAAAGAAGAAAAAAGAAAAGAGAATAAAAACAGAGAACAAACGTTCGAAGCGTTGGAAAAGATAGAGCGTCTTATTGCACGGGACGAATCAGCTCGCAGAGCTTAAAATAGATCGAATAGACTTTCTGGCTAGATGATGCTCGCAAGTTCACCCTCGGTTTCCTAAGAGGGGATTCGAGAAGCCTGTAATTCACCGAGGAACGAATCGTTCGTTCAACGGTCTTTCTACGGTGTAATTTTCCGAGGGAACTCGATGGAATTTGCACGCGTTTACCGCTGAGAACCGATACGGGTTTTCGGTTCGGTAAACGTTTGCGGAGAAACTATGCCGTGATTCTGTTTCATTGAGAAAAGAGCCACGAGCGACCCAGATTCGAATCTTCATCGATATACCATCGAATTCTTTTTCACTCAATTACCGAGCTAATTTTATTTTACCGTTTCGAAGAAAAGTAGAAAGTAGATCCGATTCGTTTGTATTTTCCAACGTAAGCTTTCTCATACAGTTTTATAACGCATTTTTTCGCTTCTTTCTCAGAGTTTTCTATTTACTAATTTAACGAAGAACAATTTAATCGATCGAAGGAAGGAGACGTTGTGAATAAAAAACAGTTAGTACGCAAAAAGGAAATTTCATCGATAAAAAAATATTATCTTTTTAAACAGCGCTGTATCATTTTTCTTTGTGGATAAATTCAGCGATATAGGATTAACGGTACAACTACCAAATCCGTCAAATCTAATGACAGGTTCGACGTTTTTCTGCTTTTGATATCGCTGAAAACATGCAGCTGCTTTTAGCAAGATTAAAATCGAATTTTATTCAGACAGAGATACGATTGTATACAGCGATTTAATTGCATTATACCATTTAATCGTTTATTTGCAGCCTATTTATTCTAGGTTGATCAATATCCTGACAGAATCTTGTTTACCAACTAAGAAGTAAAGATTTTATATAGAGAGAAATGTCAAAGGTACAAATATCGATATAAGCCGAATCCAAGCATAGCTCTGACATCGCGTAAAAGATACCGCAACTTATTTAAAAAACAAACTAATATCTGCGCGAAATCTAAATTCTTCGACGTCAAAGAAAATTATAAAATTACGCCTAATACGAAGTTTGCGATCGAGGAAAACAAAAATAGACAAAACCTACCAATCTTCGATCCTAAATAAGATTCGACAGTTTCTAAAAGCCACGAACCTTTTTAACTGATTTAGCCACAAACAAGTACCTTTCTTTTTTTTTTACTTTGTACATGGAAAAATCCTCGTAGACACTCCGCCGCTGCGGCAGCAGGAGAGCAGTGTCGGACAAGCAAGTACCTGAAATCGCTACAATTGTAAATATCGTATCTACGTATTACTTATGACCAAACGATAAAGTACCGGTCTAATGTGATACTGTATAAGCCTGTGAAATACAGTTGTACGAGAGTTGTAGTCGCTAATAACCCGCAGAGCTGGACGAGACTCGACACAAGTAAAATTAAAAAAAAAAGAAAAAAAGATGTGGGGAAGATAAATAAATAAAGAGCATAGCAAGAAGACGTTTCCCGTCAAAATACTTTAGATTCTCCTCTTGATTTCCAATTACCGCAAAAACGCGGCTGTTTCTCGCATTATTGAAAAAGCTATTCATCGAATGGGAATAATCCGTTTAACGGTCGTGCCCGACGGATATTTCGGAAGCGTTGTTTCGTGCCAGCTTTATACCTATGATAATATTAGCCTGTGTATAACGATCCTCGACACGAGATATATCCCCGTTGTGTTTTCTACAAATTTTTATCGCCGTTGCAGGATCAAGATCCGATAAGCGAGAATTCGCGGCGCGGTACCGCGCACGCGACAAGGTGATATTCGTAAACGTGTTGCAAAATTATATCGGGGGCCGGATCAGATATCGCGGTAACGTTGCAAATAAATTTGTCGGGCTGAAAGCGATTATATAAATGGATAATAGAACGACAAAGGAATTTCATTCGACGTTAACGTTTAAAACGAGCGTTCACCGTTAAAGTTCTTTTCCATACGATGCCGCGTAAATGGAGCCAATAACTTTCGTATTGACTCCTCCGCAATTTTCAAACGGAATCGATCGAATCGTTCCCGATAACGCGAATTTATTTCGTCTCTGGAGATGATCGAGAGTTTTATTAAATTTGCAACAATGCCGTCTCCGTCTGTTTTCACGAATTTCTTTATGCACGTTAGATGATATTTCTGGAGATGTATGTCAGGATCGTGGTGGTATTTAGCACATCTTTGAAATATTCGTAGGTACATGTTCAAGTTTTTAATTTTCAGATATCCGTGGACGTATAAATCCGTGTAGCGTTCACAGGTAACGCGTTAAATCGTTCGGAAAATTCTGTCGCGTTATTCAACCGAGCTTTGTGGCTTTATAACTTTTGTAGGTTACATCTCGATGATTACGATCTTCATCCCGATAATTGCGAATAAACTTTAACAACAGAACTTTCCGATCAACTCGACAACTTCTTGCTTCAGGATACTCGTCGATGGAAATATAGGCAGAATCGTTTCATTTTTGAAGAAGAATTTAAGTTACCTGTAAACTTGTCGTACTTCGTGATAACTGTGTCTAGGAAACGTACCGATAAACAAATTAAAAATTATATCGTTTACGAAATGAATATACAGGTAAAATGGCTAATTGTCGATTGGAAGTGGCCGAACAGTAATAAAATTGTTACAATGTCTTTCTATCGATCTCCCTCAAATTCACACGTGTCACGAACGACGTATCGACTCGATCTGCCGCCATAAAAAAGGAATTAGGAAACGATGAATACGAAAAACGATAAGATCAACAGGCTATGTACCTACGTGCAAAGAAACAGCCTTATCGTATCTACCATCGCTATCTACAATTGCCTTTCATTTTACGTTACGCAGAATTTTCCATTTTGATCTTTGAATTAGATGCCTTTTTTCTCCTCTAGGTAAAGAGTCCGATTCCGAAGGTAAATAAATCTTCCGGTATAATTCTAAATCTAGATAAATCTTCCAGTATAATTCTAGTAAACAGAAGATCGAAATATGAATGAA